TTTCAATCCGGTTTGAATACGTTTTTAACAATATTTTTTCAATCAATTTATATTCGTTGCGAACGAGAAGATATCGCGAACAAATGTCGTTTAATTTGAAGTTAAAATAAATCATCACATGTGTTTGAAAATATGAAACAAAAATACTTTTAGTATAAAATGAAACTATCAAAATAGTCGCTTATTTAGTCAACGACTGTATGTGAAAACTATATTTTTTATAGCTGTCTATATATTCCATGGAATGTATATTACATTCTGAAACGATGTCAGTAGCCTTAATGACGGCATTGCTATCAAGAATATCTGAACTGTTGTCTAATTGCCGTTTTCCATTAAAATTACTTGCGTCATCATTATTTCTCATATTAAGTATATTTTCTGCATCGCCTGTATTGTTTGATCGATTTTTCAATCAGACTCAATACCCATTTCATAATGTAGACATATAAAGGAAGATTGGGGACGTATCTTTCATACAATCAACTCTTTTTTTCGTGAAATCACATTTTAAATTCGGTTGAAGCTTCGCGTATGTATCGCATTAATCAACAATGAAAGTGTAGAATCAAAACTAATCTCGTAATAAAATTCGATTACAATTGAACCCCATATCTCCCCATATATTCTGTTATACCATTTTTTCTATTTTCTTTTATTTAAATAAGAAAAAGGATGTGCAGTAACTCTTCAACTCACATTTTCCGTTTCCAGTTCTTTTTTCTCGTCCTTTCTTCTCAACCTTATCTCATTCAGTTTACTCATTTCCTCATCGACGCCTCCGCTCGGTCTTTGACGTGTCTCGTATATATATATTTTTTTTATTCCGTACCCATTTTTTAGTATTATTATTATTAAATTATGGAAATTCGCGGGCAATAAATCAGTTTGCCCGTTGCGCGGGCGTGAGAGACAAAGAACGCTTATAAATCACGAAATTATCTTTCATCTCTTATTATGGCAACAATAAACATCCATTTTTCTTTGTTTTGTTCATAAATCTCCCAGAGAAGAAAAAAAGGCAACTGGATTTACCTCTAGCTATTTCGTCCTAATCGATGACCGGAGCGGCTTATTTTTAAACTCTTCTTGGAAATACCAAACACTGTAACTATACGAGTATATATATTATATAAATGGCACGCCAACCAAACAGACGATACACGCGATTACATAATGGGGAGCGCGCCCATGTTGTTTAATATTTGCTTCGTTATTGCGAAATCTTCCAAGTTAAATATTTAAGAGGCACCGCGGGCTGAAGTCGTATAGCTTTTAGGGAGAGCTGTTCTGGTCCGAAAGGGTGAAAACGGAACGCCGGAGGGAATTAATAACTTCCTCAAAGATCCACAGTGTACGATGAACAAAAGAGCGGATCCTCCCTCGCAACATAGCAAGGACAATAGGAGGCGAGCTTAAGAATCTCGCTCGATAAGGTGATTACAGTTGTAACAACAATCACAAAAAAAAGCGAAAGATGCGCTCAAAAGGAGCACTTCAAAGCGAACGCTTTTATCTAGGACTTAATTGGTAAATAAATAATTATTATAAGATCAAAATTCTGCTACAATGAATTGTAATTAATGAGCATAAATGAAATTGCGCATTTTAATGCCATAAACGTAAATGTTCCATTTACTGTATATTTTTTTTTTATAAAAATTTCAAATAAAACTTCTATATCCAATCAATGAATTTAAGAGATATCATAAATTACTGGACTTTGATTTATATACCATTAAAAGTGAATCTTATATAGAGTAACACAAACAAATTAATAATGATTATATAAATATCGCATATTTGCATAGTGCAACGAATTTGCTTAATTTTCGAATACATCAAAAAACACGTGCGAAGTTACTGCACGTAACCAGATAGCGCGATACGGTAGTTCTTTCGATGTTATTTATTTCTTTTGCTGCAAATTGCATACCGGTGAAAAAGAAAATTATTCCCGAATTCGATTCATTCTTTTTCAGTTTCCGAAAATGGAAAATTAACGCGAGCGTGTCTGAATATTTATGGATAATTATTTTTAGCGCACGAAAAACGTCCGAAGCAAATATAACATGAGACACATACATAGAGAGATTGAGAATAATAGCAAGACCGGACAAGGAACAAAACTATTTATAATAAGTGTTCCAATTTAATATGAATAATAAAATAATAAATTACCTCGGTCGATACTCCTGTTGTCATACATATGGCCAATAAATATGTTAAATAAATAAATATAATAAATTATAAATGAAGGAGATTGAAAGAGAATTACAAAGTGAACGAATTTATATAAATTGTAACATATGATCTTATTTATTATAAATTAGACATCGCGATTATTATTGTTAAGTTATTATCAAAAAGATTAACAGCTTATACGTTTGGATATTGGTCTAACATATTTTCGTATTAGCTAATGTTTTTCCTAATTGATTCTTCCACTGTTTGCAATTGAAAATCCTCATGAATTCTTCTGCTCATAATATACCTTAAAGTACCAATGATCCTTCTTAGGGTCTTCGACTGGAATCTTTGATTGTTCGCAATATTAGACTTAATGCCAACTGTATTCCGTAGGTCCAAACAGGATTTAAATTTCTTTATAAATCAGCAGCTTGTTTTCTTTTGAAATTTGCGAGTCTTCCTATAATAGCCAGTAAAGTTTCCTGAACTTAATTTCGAGTTGTTCTCTTTTCGCTTGGATGCGATCATTCCTGGTCAATCTTCTATTTAGATGCTTACTCAGATATTTAACTTTATTAGTCGCCGGTATCATTTTCCCGTTGAGAGTCAAAGTTGGGCAGGAAAATATTATATTATAAATCTTCATTGTAAATTTCAAATGTTTACCTTGCATTTCTATAATACTAGATAATATTGTCAATCTAATATTTTTAATATTATCAAAATGACGATTCATGAATTTTTCAATATATACGTGGGGTCCAACAAAAGTTCGCTAAGTTTGCTGAAAAAAAACAATTTTATTTTAATATATTTAAGTTTCATCCTTTCGTAATTTCTCTAGATAATTTTAATTTATTTCAATACATTTCTTAAGTCAGTGGAGCAAACTTTCAAAACATTCCTCAAAATTGGTTTTTTGGAGCTTTTCAACTTTTAATAATGATCTTTTCATTGGAAGTGAAGACTTTTTACTTCAATTTCTTTTATTTTCGGAAACAGCCAGAACTCACAATGCCACATTTCATTGATACCAGATAGCGCAAGAAAGTTTCAGTAGTGTGAGTGGGCGCATGATCGTAATGTAAAAAGTAGTGACGAAGTTCCCCTTTTTTCTTGTTTCTCAACAAATTTTTGAAAACTTGTGTTAAGCAAGTTTCTGTGTACTACTTAGCAGTTATCCTCTGACTAGTTTCGTGTGAGATAGAAGCTACCATATTTACCCTGGTAAAGTAAATCGACATCATCACTTTTGTTGCTGATTTTTGTTGTCTTGCTTTAACTGGGGGAGAATTGGCACTTTCTACGCTCCACACCATGAACTGCTGCTTGGTTTTCAGGCCAAACTTATAGAATCAAGATTCATTACCTGTTACGATTCTATTAATGCTAGAAAATTTCAAAGAAATATTCGGTAAAACGAACGCCTTTATTTGGTCGTCATTTAAAAATCGTGGAACCCATCGAGCGGATTTCTTCGTGCAGCCAAAGTTATTATTTAATATTTGCGACAAAGCCATGGCAATCAAGCCCAGTTCATCAAATACCATTTCCTGTATCACTCTTGGATCTTTGTCAATTTTTGCCTTCACCAGGGCTACATTTGTATCAACCTTACATCATGAATCTTGCATTTTGTACCATCCATTCTTACCGATCTTCTTGAAATTTGACATGAAATATCGTTAGACTTTAACAAATTGAGAAACAACTTAGCGAATTATGAACTGAATTTTTGTAATTAATTTTCTACTGATAACTGAGAGGTGTATGTAGGAAGTATATTAATCTGGAATTTTCAGTCTCCCCCGATAAGATTTACTTCAGTGACTAAATTAAGTCACACCACCCGTGCTAATAAATGATTTAGTAAGATATTCAATTTCAAGGTGTCGTCTACCGATCGGATCAAAAGGAACTTGGCTATTTTATTTATCAACTTACAACCTTGTGCAGAGCGTTATGTAACCAAGCGCTTTTAAGAATTGATATTGGCGACGATCGATTACAGATTTTCTTCATCCCCCAGTGTCCAGATCATTTCTATTTCATACCGCATTTTCTATATATCTCCCTCTTTTCACTCATATTTGTAGTTCGCTGTAAAGCCAGAACCGCAATAACTTTTTTAGTCAACGTCAACCTAATCCGCTTACGTTTTCCCATTTTATACATAATTTACGTGCGCCGCATTTTCCAATTCCCACTCGAACATTTCCCAACGCTCCGCCCCATAATAATAATGATAAGGGGTTACCTCAGCACCGACGCACGTCAAAATATGTGATAAAATATTGGGAAGAAACCAATCCAAACAACATTCCATACGAATTTCTAAACTTTATGCACCGCTTCTTTGTAGCAGTTACGTTGATAATGTATTTTGTTGGTTGTGAACGAGAAAACTTATTTATTTCAGGGCACAAGTAAAATTAATCCGGAATTTGAAGAAAAAAAAAAGAAGTGAGATTTATGCTTAGAGACACGCCAACTACATTGTTATATTACAATTTTGTCCAGATCCGTTTTGTATCTGCTTTATCAACTGTGTATTGTCTTTTAGTCGTCCTTGTCTAGAGCTTTAGGGGGTATTTTTAATTAATTTAATGAGCGTCTCTCTCTACCTCTCTTTGCTCGTGATTTATTTTAGAGCTTTAGAATCTAAAAACCGCACACTTTCTAGTCCAGTGCATTTTTTTTCTCTGCTACTTTTTTCGTTCCTCCTATATACAACTTTTTGTCTCTCCCTGTTTTTAGTTAGAGGATTTTTGTTTGGTATGCAGGGGATTTATTAAGGCGGTATGTTGCAGTGCGACAACGGGATTGTGGCCGGAGCAGAGGGTGTTTGTCAACCCCAGTCGAGGGTGAGTTTCACTCGCGTAGACAAGCAACCGCCGGACACCGACCAAAAAAGAAAATAATAATAAAAGAATAAAAATAAATAACAGAGCGAAATATACTTTAAAAAAAATATATAAACAAGTAAATAAATAAACGCACATATACAAAACACATACACACACACATATAGAAAAACACGACCGCATAGGGACACGATTCGAGCTCCTCTCCATTACATTACAAATCCTTCGCAAAATTCTCCCTTTCTGCGACTAGAATCAAAACGAGGACGGAAGGGGTGGATGGAATGTATGAGGGATAACGGAGAGGAGACACACAGCACCCAAATAAATTATATTAAAGCTTTTGAGCTTTTTTGTAGAATAGAATAGAACGAGTAAACGAACAGATAATAGAAACGAACTGCACCAAACTTAGGGATCAGGGATGAATGAGTGGCTTTAGATTTTTAGTGTTTAGAGCATGGATAATTTTGAATTTTCTTTGTAACTATTTCAGATTAGGTAAATGTTAAAAGGGGTTTGCAACACATGCAAGTAAGTTCTACCTAATTAGGTTTTATGAATATTGCATATTTAAATGTTATTTATCAATACTACAGGGTGGTCCAATTGAACTGCAACCAACTTAAAACTGTTATAACTTTTGAACCGTTAGCAATGTTGTGTCCATATTTCGCCTAATGATAGCTGATTTTATTGTTTACAAGCCTGCAGAAGCATCTGCATCTCAGCTTTTTGGAAAAGAAAAGTTATCAGCGATGGAATTCAATCGTAATAGTGTGATAGCCCAATATTTGAGTGAAAAACCAAAAGTGGCTATTGTTAGAGCCCTCGAACACCTTAATGTGAAAATTTAAATTTAAGACTCGGATTGAATGAAATCCGCGACGCAGTGGAAGACAAATGGTTACGCAACTGAACATAGTGAAACCTTACAAGTTCCAAAAAGGACAGTATCTCAATAATGTTAAAGAAACTAGACTCGATAGAGAGAAGGAGCTTTTGTGCTTGCACTAATGCAGACACTTGCAAAATATCGTTTTGTCTGAAGAGAAAAATTAATTGAGAAATTCGTAAACAAACAAAATAATCTAATTTAGATGAAAGATCAAACGAAAATGTATACATTGGAATGGCTACAAGAAGTCAAGTACCACCGATTGTGGTAGTTTGGGAGACTGTGACGGTATATTTTTAATGAGCAATTAATTAATCATTTAAAATATCTGCTAAACAATTTAATTAATGTAATGAGAAACTGTTTTTTTGCAATATTTCAATAGCAGAGTAAATTATTTCAATTTTCAAAAAACATAATAAAGTCATTTATATTTTATATAATCTAAGTACAGAAATCGATGTGAAAAATATTTTAATGGAAATAGTTTACAGTACATTTCCAGAAGACATATTATATGTAAATTATATATTATAAGAAAATTATTTATTTATTAGCCACAAATGCGATCAAAGTCTTTCCGTTCACAATATATTAATTTACTTAAATTGTTAAATATTACAAATATTTTTTAATTAACACAAAAATTAATTTCGTAAAATAAGTGTACTGAATAATTAATTTCAAATTTTCTAGGATTACCGCACGTAATGTATATTACGATATTCCTTTATTTTGTGCAAAGCCCACGTTGTTTCGCCCAAAGGCGTCGATGATGTCGCAGGCGATGCTACTTTGACATTCAGAAGAGGTCTTCTCTAATTAAATTAAGAACATAATTAAAATGCTACTAGCGAGGATTTCACTATTCAAAATTTCTAACATTCGGATGAGCTTTTATTATTGTTTGTTTGAAATCATCAATCGATTTTTTTCCGCATTATTAGCTGTCCAGCATTGTGACTACTCCATAGGCTTTGAGTAATTGCCGAATGCTTTACAAATTAAAAATATAAATTATGATCCATTCAATTCCTCGTGGTAAGGGGTAAGGATATAGGGAAAGGATAAGGGTAAATGCGAACCGGAGACTCGGCGATTCTAGGAAAGGATGGAGAGTCCTCGGATTGGTTATGTTAGTTAGAGTGAGTGCGGTGTTAACTTAAAACTAAAGAGGAATATAGACAAAATGGGCGTATTACAAATATAACTTAATCTAACCTGACGAAAGAGAGATCTAACTATTATAGTAAATTGCACTTTACTATATTAATTATTTCTCTAGTAATGATATTATCATAACTACCTAATTGGACATTTAAGATAATCAATTGGCACCTAATTATATAATTTGTCTATGGTTTTTGTTGTGAAATTCTATAGTTTGGTCCACCTCCAGAGTGCCCGACCTGAACCTTCACAGCAAAAAGGAACAGATCGAGTGCAACAGTCCAGAGGTGAACTTTATCTGCTGAAAGAGAAACACGTGGGAATACGTTAGATCTCCACAAACATTATATAAATACAATACAACTGACAACAAATGGACACATAATATGGAAATTTTGGAACGGATTAAACTCGTTAAGCGAGGTTCCACTGTATAACATAAACTTATTAAAACTGAACGAATGTGACGAAAGTCCATAATTAAATAATAGAATATGTTTCATTTTCGAAGAAAACACGAAGTCCTGCTCCCTAGAAAACGCGACGAATACTAATACAGTGCTTTTCATTACAAATACATCTTTTCTGTGTCACACCCGCATTTTTCATCAGATCGTGTTCGTTCTTGTGGCGTCTGCACGTGGATGAAAAAGAAGAGAAGTATTTTTCTCTTTCTGTCCTCCATTCTTTCTCTCGATTCCTTCGTGTTTCTATACTCCCGACACACTTAAGACCATCGCAGACCGCATTACGTAAGCGAGCCGCGTTTCGAAAAAGCACAAGGCCTTGTGGGATACGAATGGCCGTGCTGCAGGAAGCGAAAGGAACATAGTGTTAGGGGATCATCGTGGATGAGTTTCGTATAATTCAATATGATATAACAAAAGTATTCTATATATTTCTATAGTTTTCACACTGCTAATATACGAATATCAGTGTGAAGCTTTCTTCATATCTTTTAATTATATTCACATAAAGATCCAACAATTGTAAATTATTTGTAAAACTGTACACTAATGCTATTGTGAATGTTTATGGCTCACTTGATCTGAATTATCATTGCTGCAACAATACTTTACTAGTATACTAAGCAAAATAAGCGTGTATTTTATTGATTGGAAAAATTATTACAATAATAAGTACAATTTACGTACGAATCAAAATTGTTAAACAGTTCAGTTTTGATTATCTTACATGGACTGAGTAATCTCACATTTTAATTTAAACCTGTTTCTTGAATCACCCTGTATATGGAATTTTTTGCTTTTTAAATCGAAAATTTGAAACAATATTTTCGTGTCGGTTGTTAGTTTTCATTTGTAAATCTGATTATAAATGGTCCAGATAAACTGGGCAGCAATAACGGACGTGATTTATCATGTCCGGATTAAAATTTAATATATTTAAAGTGTGCGCATATAAATATTACCTTCTATCGACCCGTAGCGCACCCCGAAAATAACCTATTATATCGTTTCCAGTCTAGACTCCAAATCATCTCCGTACATTATGTAAATACGTGACGTCTATAACCGAAATCGATCGTGTGGCACTATTTTCAGAAACACGCTCATGTGGGATTTAATTATGTAATAACTTGCGCGCCGACCACCATGCATTTTGTTTTTCCAGAGAAAGGGGGAAACGAACAAATTGAAAATTGAAACATTTACGATTAAATTAGTCTAAAACTCTATCAATATTTCGCGAAAAATTCGAGTTCAGTCGAAATACGACAAAGAGAACTAACGATAATTATTTAAATTTAATTTGGTTTCAAGCGAAATGTATTTTGTTTTGATATGTACATTAAAATCGGACACCGTTGATATTTGATATGAAAGTAATATGTGTTACAAAATATATTCATTATATTTAAGGGAGGATTCTCGTTTTTACAATTTAAGATCAGAATTGGTTAGAAAATCTTTTATAAATAAATTTTCAGAATCTCAGAGAAATTATGGTGGATACGCCGGGTCCATGAACATAACTTGTTGTTTCTTTCTAATTGAGATATGGAAATGCTAATAAATTCACGGAATAATTGGCTGCTGGACATGCATGCATACAAATATATGGGGTATTCGCGTTGCGGAGCGAAATTTGCAACACTGATAAAATTTCGTTCCGCCACAGTCGAAATTCAATTACTCGTCCTCCTTTCTAATTTGGCTACTATGTATGTATACATTTATATATATATATATCAAATACCAGCATGCATATAATCAGAATAAAGCAAAATCGATAATATTTCATTTATTTAAAACTGTAAAAATACTTTTTTTTTCTATAAAATTACATTTTCAATCGACTGACGAACCTTTGTACAATTTTCAATCAAAATTACTACACTATAAATATTAAATCGAAAAGGTTTCATACGTGATTAATTAGGATTAGCTAATTAAGTTTTATTAAATACTTCATAAAATCTAATTCAATATAAATGAATTAACCACAAAACCATTTGCTTCATATTATTGGTCCAATTAGGACATTTTTGAGGAATATTTTAGTATTATTAAATATAATACATAGTTTTTATGTGACTCAACTGTGGCATATTACAATTTATCGTGAAGTATTATTTTTATTCTTTGTTTAAATTTTGATTATTTTACATTATTGTTTTTTTCTCTCTCATTAGATTCCTGTGATATATTTATAGAAATCATTTGTTAATGCTTTCTAGATTTTAAGTTCAATCGACCGGCCGACAACTAATTGTAGACCAATATTTTCAACTTTGAAGTAATTAATAGTAAACATATTTTTCTGCAAATTCTTCTACATAAGTAAACGTTGTGACGATATAATGATGTATATTTCATATTAACTGTTCACAACTGCATATATAATGTGCTCTATCATAAAATGTATTGCATCAATCAACTTTATGTCTATATGTTGGTTACCATATGGTACAAATTCCTTATATAGGTCACAGTTACTATAATGGTGCATCACTTGCGCCGATCTAAATTTTACAAATATTCTCTATTATATGAAGCAGAGAAGATAAAACTGCTGTA